GGCACGAAGGACGTCTAAAGACGCCAACCCGCATCCAGGAGACTTTCGTCCGGCCGTCTTTCAGCATTCGGCGGACGGGAAGTGGTTAAAGTCCAACTCCAGCTAACACTTTTCAAGCAGTTGCACCAACAGTTTTTTTTCTTTTGAAAAATATGTTTAAACCATATAAACAAAAGCTGAACATGGAAGGAAGCTCCTTCTTTGCTGCCCAATTAGCTGTGGCAGGGGAATTCCCCTTCCGTAACTTGATTAAGCAAGTTGGAGGGTGGCTACTATTAGCTAGTAACAACAATGTATCTTTTTTGTGTATCACTCGGCTGTAGATCCTCCAATCATCTCTGACACTGTCCTTCCTTCTGGAGGGGGGCTACGTCTGTCCCCCATGGTCCCTGTGTGTGTTGTAAAGTAGTCACCGCTCCAAGATCACTCCCGTGATGGACTACAATATTATGCTCAGTTTACTCATTTATATTGAGAGTGTAGTCCATCCCGGGAGTGAGCTTGGAGCGGTGACTACTTTACAACACACACAGGGACCATGGGGGACAGACGTAGCCCCCCTCCAGAAGGAAGGACAGTTTCAGCACCAATTCAGAGATGATTGGAGGATCTACAGCCGAGTAATACACAAATAAGCTACATTGTTGTTCATAGTCAAGGGACTTGAATTTATTGTTAAGCTTTATCTCCTGTGTTTAGTGTCACCTTAAGTCTGTAATGTGAATGTCAACCAAAAAGCAGATTCAATGGTGCTTTTGAGGTGTCAGATCTGGATTTAATTGGACATCTAGCATATACAAATACATAATCTTTCTCTTTAATTCATGTGTCAATGTGCAGTGAGTCCAGTCTTCTTTTTGCGAAACGCATTGAAGACTGGACTCACTGCACATTGACGAATGAATTAAAGAGAAAGATTATGGCTCAGAATTATGATACAGTGATACTGTTAAGAGATAACAAATTGACTAAAAATGCAAAGATTGTCTACATGTGCTTGTGGGATCCAGGGGGATGCCATGCCTTGGAATTAATTCCTAATGTTGGAATATGTTTATAGTCCGACCTTTTTCTTTTATATGTCCAAATATCATGTGTATTTTTAATAAATTATTGTTAAACTAACTAAATAATTGAGTAAGTTATTTGTATATGTGAGATGTCCAATTAAATCCGGATCTGACACCTCAAAAGCCCCATTGAATCTGCTTTTTTGTTTGTCTAATTTTTAGGGGTGTGGTGTCATGGTTTCTGTGGTGGTTCAACTGAATGGTATATAAATGTAATGTGAATGTGAAAAATGTGTTCAGCTGTCTGACGTTAGACAAATCACCCAAATACATTTGTATTACCCTCTGCTTCTGCCTCAGGACTTCTGCCATCTTCTTATTCATATTGTTTCTTTCTTGCTTAATTTTCTCTTCTGCATCTTTAATGGTCTGCCGTAGAACGGCTTGCTCTTCCCGATGCTTTTGAGCTCTGCGCTCTTCTTCCATTTTCCTCACTTGTTTTTCCATCTCCTCAATTTGTCTCCTATTATTTTCCTCTAAGAAGGGTATCAACAAGTGAAATGATCAAAAATGCATCTTAGTACAGTGTGGTGCATTCTGATTTGTTTTTTAGCTTCTCTCTCATCCTGTCATTGAAATGTTTTAATCTGATAAAGTTAAAGTGACATTAAACCCTCAGATTTTTTAACATAAAACAATACTGTAATGTGCGCCTTACTGTAATCCATGGTAGTTTCCCTTCTCTTTGCTGCTCTTCCTTTTTAAATCCGTATCTCTTCTCATGCTGGGGCAGAACTTCTGTTTTGCAGCAGACTGCCTTGTCTCAGGAATGGATACATGGTGTCTGTGTGTAGGTTCACAACCTGAGCCAGCACTACAGGAAGAGGCACTCAGCTGCAAAGGGAAGTTCTCCCCCAGCATGAGAAGACATGAGGATTTAAAAGGAAGAGCAGCAAAGAGAAGGGAAACAACCATGGATTACAGTAAGGCACACATTACAGTATTGTTTTATGTTAAAAAAAATCTGAGGGTTTAATGTCACTTTAAATCAGGTAATTCTAGGAGAGTGGAGGTGGGGGGAGATGTGTCTGTAGTACTGTGTCCTGTATGACTGCTGACACCACCCCCATCATTTTCACTGAGGTGGTCTGCATACTGTGAGTGTGTTGGTGAGGACCCAGAATAAAACAGGAGCAGTGTGTCTGTGAAATTGGGGACAATGGAGGTTGAAAAGGACACTACAAAATATAAGCAGGTTCTTATCAGAGACTGTGTCATTGAGTGTCATGGAGTCCAGGAACAGTGGAGGTGTTGCTGTGGACAGGGAGATGGGTCAGGGCTTTATTTGGCAGGGAATGTTGACGCAGCAAATGGGACATTGGAGCTGAGATTACCACTGAGCCAATTTCAGTGGTGCATAAACTGATATTTATCATGGTGCACTAAATAAATGTGAGGGATTACCCCAATTGTGATGGAGACTGTTTGCTGAGGATTAACACACATGCTTGTGACTGGCCACTGAGTGATAAGTGCACATGTGCTGGTTGTCAACAGGTGAGGGATTCATTCACATAGACTACCGAGTGCTGAGGGCTTAATATACTGTATATACCGGAGAGATAATGCATATCGGCTGAGTAATGAGCACGGGGTATGGGGAGTAAGTGGTTTTCACAAATGTTAGAGACAGGACACAGAGGGGTTAACACATCTAAGCTGTGGATTGGGTGTTAAAGGGTTAATGCTTATATGCTGGAGACAGGATACTGAGGGGTTAATGCGCACACACTGAATATTCATCTCTTAAGTATTGATGCATTTACATACGGGCACTCGTGTAAAAACTGTTGGGTCAATGTAATAGCCACTTAAAGTGACATTAAACCCTGAGATTTTTTAACATAAAACAATACTGTAATGTGCGCCTTACTGTAATCCATGGTAGTTTCCCTTCTCTTTGCTGCTCTTCCTTTTAAATATGTATCTGTTCTCATGCTGGGGGAGAACTTCCCTTTTCAGCTCAGGGCCTCTTCCTGTGCTGCTGGCTCAGGTTACAGCCTATACAAATCTATATGCAGACACAGTTAGAGACAAGGCAGTCTGCTGAAAAGGGAAGTTCTCCCCCAGCATGAGAACAGATACAGATTTAAAAAGGAAGAGCATCAAAGAGAAGGGAAACTACTATGGATTACAGTAAGGCACACATTACACTATTGTTTTATGTTAAAAAATCTGAGGGTTTAATGTCACTTTAAGTACAACTGAGCACAAAGTAATTTATATTTAAAAATGACTTCCATGAGTGGGTATGCTACCCGGTGCACGTTGTGTGCAATGTATGCGTTTCTTGAACATGGGGTGAATACTGTTGCGCTAGATGTGAGCTAGTTGCTTGTTTGGAAGCCCAGATTCTGGATCTAAATAACAAACTGGCAACTTCGAGGAGCATAACCAACATGGAAAGGAGTCTGGACTTGACGCACCAGGCTGAGGTGGAGGGTGGCCTAGATGAGGAGGGGGGTTTGGAGGAGCAGGATCCCCGGAAGGGGGATGGGTTAAGGTTAGGAGGTGGGGTAGAGGGAAGACTGCGAGAGAGGCCAGCCCTGAACTGATACACCTCAATAAATATGCAAGGTTGCATGATGTTGGGGATATTAGTACAGGGGAGGCATTGTTGGAGCACAACGCCTCCTCTATCCGCAGGGGAAGTGACTACTCCAGTAAGGAGGGGAGCAGGATGGAGGGTCAAGAGACTCAGATCCTGGTGGATCAGGCGGACTGGCGGACATCATCAGGCGGACTGACAGGTTAACCTGTCATCGGAACCGTGAGCGTCGAACAGTGTGCTGCCTGCCGGGGGCTCGTGTTCGACACATTGCGGAACGAATGGACAGGTTACTGGATGGGGTTGGGCATGACCCAGCTGTCATGCCCATCGGTACCAATGACAAAATAGGAGGTAAATGGAGTGTCCTAAAAAGAGAGTTCAGAGACCTAGGTGCTAGGATGAAGGAAACGACCTCCACTGTAGTATTCTCTGAGATACTGCCGGTGCCACGATCAACTCCAGAGAGACAGCGAGAGTTGAGGGAACTTAACAAGTGGCTCCGGAACTGGTGTCGGAAAGAGGGCTTTGGTTTCCTGGAGAACTGGGCTGACTTCGCAGTCGGTTACCGGCTCTACAGCCGAGACAGGCTGCATCTTAACGGGGAAGGTGCAGCACTTTTGGGGGGAAAATGGTTAAAAGACTGGAGGAGCTTTTAAACTAGATAATGGGGGGAGGGTATAAAAATAGATACATTTAATATAGAACAAGTAACTACTGGGTATGCATGTATGTTAAATATAATCTAACTGTGCACATACGGGATTATATTATGGCAGAGAGGTGAGGAGTCCTTGTGGCTAGAACTAGATAAGACTGATGCTAGTCGTAAACTAATTGTGGGGTTGTGTTAAAAAACCCCCAAACATAGGGGAAGAGGAGGAGTCCTCTTCCCCTATCCCAAATAGAAGTAGCTGGGAAGCAGGGCAATGTTGTTGTAATGGGTGACTTTAATTATCCGGACATCAATTGATCTAATGGAACCTCTCAAAAATGCCATCCTAGATTTAATAATTTCCAATAATGGGGACTTAGTTGCAGACATTGTGATTAGGGAGACACTGGGTAATAGTGATCACAATGTGATTACTTTTAATATTGGGTACAGAACAGAGAAGTGTGTGGGTCGGACAAGAACACTAAACTTCAGAAAGGCAAACTTTGACAAGCTGCGCCACCTAGTATGTGACACCAAATGGGGCTAATTATTTCTAACACTGAGCACTGACGAGAAGTGGGATTGTTTTAAGCATACAGTACATAAAGCTATTACCAAGTGCATACCATTGGGCAACAAAAATAAAAGATCAATAACTAAGCCGGCATGGCTAAATAAAACATTACAACAACACATCAAAGACAAAAGCGTGGCATTTAAAAAATATAAGATGGCGGGAGAAGGCCGAGGTGTTGGATACTTTTTTCTCCTCAGTATACACTCAGGAAAAAGACGGGTTTAATGGAGATAAGAATTTGAGTGGCTCATTGCAAAATATACCACAGTGGTTGACGGTAGCCCGGGTTCAACATAGACTTGAAAAACTTAATGCAAATAAAGCATTAGGACCAGATAACCTGCACCCCAAGGTACTTAAAGAACTCAGTCAGGTTATAGCGAGACCACTATGCCTCATTTTCAAGGACTCCTTAATGACTGGAAGGGTACCTAGTGACGTAGTGGAAAGCTACGGTAGTATCGATATTCAAAAAGGGTCAAGATGCCAACCTGGGAACTACAGACCAGTCAGTCTAACATCCATAGTATGCAAACTGTTAGAGGAAATGATAAAGGACTACTTAGTAGAGTTTGTTCTTGAAAATGGTATAATAAAAGATAATCAACATGGATTTAGGAAGCTTGTTCCTGCCAGACCAACCTACTAACATTCTATGAAGAGGTGAGTAGAGATCTGGATGAAGGGAGGCCGGTAGACGTGGTATATCTGGATTTTTTTAAAGCATTTGACACGGTACCACATAAACGCTTAGTATACAAGCTGAGGTCTATGGGCATAGATGACATGTTGTGTACATGGATAGGGAACTAGCTACAGGAACGTGTCCAGAGAGTATCGATAAATGGCTCTTTTTCAGGTTGGTCTAGGGCAGGGGTCAGCAACCTTAAACACTCAAAGAGCCATTCGGGCCCTTTTCCCACAGAAAAGAAAACACCTGGAGCCACAAAACCCTTTTGACATCTAAAATGAAGATAACACGTCATGTATCGTTTTTTATCTTTATGCTATGTATAGCATGTACAGTATATAGGTATATGTGGGCTGAGTAACGCACTGGACTCAGGGCTTACCTGAGACCCCGCAGGGCCCACCTGAGAGTGACCCTGCAGAAAACACCATAGATCCTGCACTGCCCATCTGAGACTCTCTATGGTGGGCTCCGCAAGGCCTCAGGTGGGCTGGTCGCCGGGGTCCCTTTCCCGGCACCTCCTCCCAACTCCTCTTACCTGCTGCTGCTGGGGCCTGGCCTCCTCCACCCCCTCCCCTGTCACCTCTGCCATGCCTCCCCTGGTACAGCTGATACTCATTTAAGAGGCCCCCCAGGCTGCCCAGACTCTTCACATGGGTACCGGTCGTACCCCCCTTATGGCGGTGTTCTATCAAAGTTTATTTCAATGTAATCCCGGCCAGTTTTTTGGCGGTGGAATGTTTGACCACCAATAGGGCAAGCATTCCAATGCTTTGTCAGCTGTTCCAGGGCAGATTGGCATCGCAAATCGTATGTGCAGGAGAACTGATCTGCCCTTGAACAGCTGTTCGGTCCTGAAATGTCACTTCTAACCGACTCTGTGAGCGCAATCTCCATGCCTCAGGGATCTGTGCTAGGCCCCATATTATTCAACCTGGTTATTAATGATATTGGGGAGGGCGTGAATAGCAATGTTTCCGTGTTTGCTGATGACACTAAAATCGGGGGGCTAATAGACACGGACTTAGACAATATAACATTACAGGAGGACCTGGATAAAACAGGGGAGGGGCAACTGTATGGCAGATTAGGTTTAAAGTCGATAAATGTAAAGTAATGCACTTTGGGGTTAAAAAACAGGCAACCGGAACACACATTAATAGGAACTCCACTAGGGAAGTCAGAAATGGAAAAAGATTTGGGGGTCATTGTAGACCACAGATTGAACAATAGCACACAATGCCAGGCTGCGGCAAACAAAGCGAGCAGATTTCTGTCTTGTATTAGAAAGGGAATGTACTGTAGAGACAAATCTATAAATTCTGCCACTTTATAGATCGCTGGTTCGGCCTCATCTGGAGTATACGGTCCAGTTTTGGTCACCAATACACAGATGGGATGTCCTGAAGCTGGGAAGAGTCCAGAGAAGGGCAACTAAGCTAATTAAGGGGTATGGGGGACCTGAGCTATGAGACAAGGTTACAAAACTTAAACATGTTCACGCTGGAAGTGAGGCGATTAAGGGAGGACACGATTTTGATGTACAAGATGTTCAATGGTGATGGCAAAATCAGCAATAAACTTTTTATGGTAAACTACCTAACAAAGACTAGAGGCCACCAACTAAAATTGGTGGAGAAAAGATTTAACCACAAGGGGCGTAGGAGCTTCTTCTCAGTCAGAGCGGTTAGGGTCTGGAACTCTCTGTCACAGGAAGTAATATCAGCTGAGATTGTTTAATCATTAAAAATGCATTTGGACAATTTCCTCAGAGACCGTAACATACAGGGGTACAGGCACCCTTAAAAAATAAGATCACACGGGGACTCGTACACATGCATACACATGCAGAATCCAAAACATATACACAATAGGTTGAACTTGATGGACCTGTGTCTTTATTCAACCTCAAATACTATGTAACTATGTAATTAACAAACGCTCTGACATAACAATTAGTAAAAGGATCACATGTAAATAGAAAAATAATAAATGGTTGAACTGTACATGAATTACAAGTATTTAGAAGAACAAATAAAAACAAGCAAAATAAGCTGATTTGCAGCTAGCGTAAAAGATCCTAATATTATATTACAGGCAGTCCCCGGGTTACGTACAAGATAGGGACTTTAGGTTTGTACTTAAGTTGAATTTGTATGTAAGTTGGAACAGGTAAATTTTTTAGGTGTAACTCCAGCCAGAACAATGTTTTTTTTTGGTTTTGGATAGCATAAGCAAGGGTTAACCCCCTGTAAAGTTTGTGTTGCTGTGTGTGCCCCTGTTCAGAAGATTTTACATCACTTTCTGTCCCTGTGACAATTGGATTTTGAAAATGTTGGGTTGTCGTGGAGCGCTGTAGCATTACATCTACCCCTGCCGTACAGTAATAGTCTCCGTTTGTAAGTAGGAGTCGGATGTAAGTCGGATGTATGTAACTCGGGGACTGCCTGTATATGTAATCAAGTTCAATAGGAGAGGAGGTAATAAGTGACAGAAAAAAAGATTAGTGAATATTTTTAGCTTGGGGTAGGTGAATGAGGACTTAACAATCATTCTGTGGTAGCTGATCACTGACAGGTTAAGGCACACGCACTACAGACTGGTGACTGAGGGGTTATTGCATTTATTCTGATTGTGTAAAACTGGATAGAGAGCTCTGTGTACTGAAGGGGCATCTCTCTGCTGGTATTCATACTGGGGAGTGATCTGTGTGTGGAGGGGCAGGATACAGGGAAAGCAACAAGAAACTTCTTCATGTAGATGCAGAGACTGCTGCTGAGCTGAGCCTTAATTTGTTGAAGCTCCAGACTTTGTGCCTGGGCTCAGTGTGCAATATCAATGTGTGTGGTGGGAGTGTGTACCTGCAGACTGAGGAGTTTCAGGAGGAGAAACTGGAGCGTGTGCTGGAGGAGGGATTTCACTGGGGGAAGCCATCAGACATTTTGGGGCCCCTTACACAGCTTTAGGTCTGGGCCCCTCCCCCACACCGCCGTTCTCATCGGGGGCAAATGCGGGCACCATTTTTTCAGTGGGGGGCCCGGGATCAGAACTCAGTGGGTCCCCCCAGCCTCGAGCCCTTGTGCAGCCACAGGGGCAGTAGGTCTGCCCTCGATGTATATACAGCCCAGCTACCTCTGGGCTCTCTCCTGCACCGCAGTCAGACTAGGATAGTGATGGCGAATGTTTTTGAACCCGAGTGTCCAAACTGCGACGCAAAATCAATTTATTTATCTCAAAGTGCCAACACTGAAAATAACTTTAGTATTGCCTTGCAGCTTAGGCGCTCGGGTTTAAAAAATGTTCAGCATCACTGCCACTGCCAAACATTTATACACTCATTAAAACACAAAAATCACGCGCTCATTAATCACTTGCTGTCCGGAGCAATTTCTTACATTTGCACGCAGATGATAAAATCTGAATTTTTGGTTAGAAAAAAAGCTTCAGACCCCCCAAACAATGATATATTTTCTGAAAGCAGAGGCACTGTAGAATAGAAACATACTAGCTGCAAGTTTTTATGTAGCACGGTATTTGCGCAAGTATTTTTAGGATAAAATTCACCAAAATGAAATTTAGTGCACAGAAACAGAATATAATGGCTAATTTTTTGGAAAAATATAAAAGATGGGGTCACACCGGGCAAATAGATACCAAACAAGTCAAGCCTTAAAACATGTCAAGCCTTAAAATTGCATGCATCTGTGAAACCGTAAAAAACTACAATAACCTGACGCTCGCAACGATATGTGTGGCACAACTTTTCTTTTTGCGCGTAGGCACATACAACACATGTTTGCGTTGTATGTGCGTGGACGTGGGGAGCGGGGGACCTTAACTGCTTGCCGTCCGCCCGTTGTGAAAAAATGGACGGACGGTAAACTCACATGGGCGGGTTGCCGTAATTAGACGGCTTTTTTTTTCTGCTCGCACGCGCCCCCTAGTGCGTGCACGGGCAGAAAAAACCTGTCCGTTCTGAGGAGCCGTTACAGGATGATAGCCGTCAATCGCTTGTATCTTGTGGCTGCGTGCCCCCCTCCCAGAATGCCGCCTCCCCTCCTGCACCTTCACCTTAAACCCCGGGATCCGCTACCCCATCTGCGGCCCGGGACCGTCTCATGGTGTAACACCGCGGAGCAGCCGTGTTCTTGGTATAACCACTTCCAGCTGAGGACGTACATTTATGTGAACCCGTGGGAAGTGATTAAAAAAAAACACCACACACACGTAATAAAACACACACACTCCTTAAAAAAAACACACACACTCTCACACAACTATTAAAGATAAAAATAATTAAAAATGTCCTCCTCTTCTGCTTACCTGTTTTGCAGGAGGGGGGCTGCATCAATGCGGTCCAGTGTTGGGGATTATCCTGGTGGTCCAGTGCAGAATCAGTGTGATCTGCATCTCAGACTAATGCAGACCATACTAATCGATCCCTGCCAATCAGCGGCGGCACCACGAGGGAGCGATCAGTATGATCTGCATCAGCAAGAGATGCAAATCATACTGATTCCCTACTGGACCACCAGGGCATGATTTTCATTTAATATATTGCTGGCTATTTGTGGCGGCCATCTTTAACCAGTTGACATCCGCGGTGTTAAACCCCCTTCCCATCCAGGCCATTTTTCAGTATTCAGCGCTGCGGTACTTTAACTGACATTTATTCCGTCATGCAGCGCTGTACTGAAATGAATTTTATACCCTTTTTTGGGGACACATAGAGCTTTCTTTTG